ACTGGATTTTACGTTCCTGACACAGACTTGGCGTGGTGCTGGTGACTCCGCCCTGTTCTTAGTACTTCTTCCTGCCTGTTAGTTTTCAGCTCCCCTCACCCTGCTGGCAGCGCTAAGACGCCAGTGCCTGTTCAAATCCAGTTTCCAGTGTCTTACCCGTTATCCAAGTTTGCAGACATTTGTCATAAACTTTAACAGTCCTGTGCCGTGTGCTCTGATCTCCCACTCAACAACATTTAACACAGATTTCTTATAGATCAGATTTTCTGTCACTTCTCGAGCTGTGTGTGGGCATTAAAGGTACATCCTTAAATAATTCACTCATATTTGTCAGATAGTCGGTTCTGTGTCAGGTAAGCACCGTCTGTGTGTTGCACACAATTTAAACTGTTTCCTTTACTCGTCTTTTGTTCTCCAAACACAGAAAGAAAAGTGCTTCAGTTCAGTGAGGCTGAACTCTGCTGGCCGTTCATGAATATCGGCTCCCTGTTAGATTCAGAATTGAAACACCTGCTCCTCACATACAAGCTCTGTAATAACCAGGCCTCCTCAGAGGGGTTCATATGATTGAGTCAGTTGTGTCTGTAGGTCTTTGCCGTACTATGAAGAGCACTCTGAGGCGACTGTTTGATGCCATATTAATGTTATAACACTGAACTGAACCAAAGTTCAGTTTGTTTGCAGCAACAGAAAAAGTGTAATAACATTGGTATAAACTCAAATTTATTGAAAGTTAAAATATAAGAAAGATATTTTTGTAATATTTGCAGATATGTAATATTACATATTTGTATCATATTCATGTATTTATACATATTAACCTTGTAATGAAGTTGCTTTTGCTATAAATATTTTTCCAAGTGCAAAACTGAAAAACCCCGTCAGTTTGAATGTTCTTTTAAACGTAACCGTCAACATATTTTCCTCTTTTTTTCTTCTGTTGCTTTAAACCTTTGTTTTTGTTCTCAGAGCCCAACAAGCAGCGGCCGTGTCTCAGTAAATCCTCCTCCTCGGTTTCTATTATCACTGAATTTTGTTCATTTGTTTCAGCATCTTCTTCATGTGAAATAAGTGTGTGTTTGTGGCAATGAAGGAATATTTTACCAGACTTTATTCAAGCTGAAGCACATTCAGGTCAGATTGCTCTCTGGTGATTTTAATCTCAGATGAATCCAAATATGTTCCTGGTTAAATGATGATTCCTGCTCGTCTGGAGTAAAAGACTCAAATCAATTTAAACCAGTAAAATATAAGAAGTTCCACGTGGGCTTATTTTTAATAATCATATTTCAGATCTTAGTGCTCTGACCTCTCTGTGTTTCACTGTGTTCATGTCAGGCTCATCGTCAGACTCAGAGACGCCTCAGGCTGAACCTGGAGCTGCTGCTGCCAGCAAAGAGGGTAAAAACAAAGTGATGAAGAATAAAGAGAACAGAGAACAAAACTACAGGAAGTTTGTATTTATACTTTATACAAAGTTGCATTAACTTGGCATTTGATACATCGACATTACATTTTTTGACACAAACAATTTCAAAAGAATTTGTGGGAAAATGTAACCAGTTTAAAATCGCACTGTTTTGTTTTTCTTGATGAAAATTGACACTTATATATATATATATATATATATATATTTATCATAGTCCAGCTATTTTTTGTTAATGAGAAATATGAAAAATATGTTAAAATGTGAAACTTAAAATGAATTCCACTGAGTTACTCTGCAGTCATGCTTCTTTCACATTTCCACAGCAGTGAACTTTGACATGAACTTACAGAGTCACACAGTGTCTGACATTAAATGGTCTCATCATTGATTTTCTTCAGACTGCTGTGAGTGGACGGACAAAATATAACTGTGGAGTGTTCCAGTGTTCGCTGTACTAATTAAAGGGGTTTTGTGTGGATGAAACAGCCAGAGGAAAACATCTGTTCATGTAACGCACAGAGACAGAGAGGCGCGTAACACTGCTGTCCGTCAGGTCTTAGACCTCAGTGATCAGACGAGCTGCAGATGGACGGGACCTCCATCCTCCTGTCAGAGAGGAAAACTGAGTTCATTCGACACAATGGGAGAAGCTTTCTTTAAATAATGATGCTGTGTGTTTTCTGCATCCACAACATCCACCCTGATCCACACTGGACTGTGACAGCTCGTCATCACACACGGGAAACCTTTAAGATTTATTTGATCATATATTCACATCATGAAAGTTCACGCCTGCAGTGCATGTGTGAGAAGAGCTTCATTCTGTGAGGTGAAATTCAAGAACAACAGTTTTTCCTTCATAAACTATTATAAATAAATACTTACTAGTGTTAAGGGCACACACCAGCGTTCGTCTCAACTAAACAAATAAATCAAAACATATGTGGTTCTTCTTCTTAGTCCAGTGTTTTTGGAGCCATTTTTCTTCACTGGTTTTATTTTGGATAAAGTATTTTGATTTTGCCCCTTGACGGTGCTTCAAGTAAAGAAAGAGAAATGTCAGCAAAGTTTTAGGATTAACAGACCGAACAAAAGCCTCCTTCCCTCGCTGCTCACAGACACTTTCTTTGATCACGTTTGTGTGTTTCTCTCAGACTCAGAGTCGTCTCAGAGCTGTGCAGTGGTTTTGGAAAACGTCACAGACAACATGTCCACAGATCTGCTCTCCATGCTGGTGGAGAACATCTCTGGGTTGGATGAGAACAGCTACAGCATGGAGAGGATCCTGGAATCCAACAAAGCTGTGGTCACCTTCAGCAGCCCTGCAGGTAGGAAGCAGACAGCTACCACCTGATTAGGTGACAGCGGGAAGGAACAACTCCCTTTTAACAGGAAGAATTTACATTCAAAATAAAATAATAATTAAAAATATATTATTTATTTAAAATAATGAAGGATTTTAAACTTGGTTCTGGATTTAAACTCCACTGGTTCAAGAACTTTTTTGAGAAAAGGAAGTTGGAGATTGGCCTGTAATTAGCTAGGACAGCTGGGTCACTCGCCACTTTAAAGGCCAGGCGCCCATTAATTAAGTGCAGCCAGCAGCTTAGGTTAGCATAGCTATTGAAACCAGGATAAAGGCTCGTTCGGTTCATCCACAGCTTTTTAACCTTCGATAAGTGACTCGCTTTAAGCTCACCTCTGACAGCCTGAGTACACATTTGGGTCCTGCAACAGTCGACACACTAACAGCACAAAATATTAACACATCTGTCTGCAATAAACGAGGATTATTAAATATATAAAGTAGATCCAACAAAGATTGCCTTTATATTTGAAACAAGGACAAAGCCTGACATCATTATATAGATAACACTGTGTAATCCAGCTCTTCTCTCTCACCCTCTCACCCGTTTCAGTGTGAAAGGATTAATCTGGATTATTTTGCAGATGTGGAGAGATTCCTGTCTGTAAGTCAGACCAGCACAAAGATGAAGAAGCATGGACTGACCGCTCGGCCCCGAAAGGTAGCAACAAACATCCGAGTGGAGAGTCTTCCTCCGCCTGTGGCCAAAGGTACACACAGAAAGCAGTACATGCTGCACTTATTCTCTTTTGGCTCTTGACGAAGGCGGTCGCACTTTCTCCCCCTCCCCTCCCCTCCCTTCCCTTTCCTGCTTGGCTTTCTCATGTCTCTGTCTAGTCTTGTCTACTTCTCTCCCTTTGCCCTGGAAGAGTCTCACAGTCTGTTCTCTAAAACCTGAAAGAGGAATTATGGATTTGACACCCTCTTCTCGACAAGAAGCCTGGGTTCAGGAGAGCCAATTGAAGACGTCTATCTTTTCGGAACCATGATAACTGATCAGCGCTGGCTTGGCCCTGGGTTATCGAAGAATAAAGTAAGCAGAAACGGCTGTTCAGATCCCCACAAGGCTGCCCGCTATGTTTATTGGAACAATGGAGCGAGCTGTGGCTTCTCAGAATAGGCTCATTAGATGCAGCACGGATGACATATTGGAGAAACTTGCGGCTGCTGTAAGTGCTGAGACCGACAACATCTGAAAACATCTTGGAGAGGCTGACGGCTGTCGTGAACACTCGTGCTCTGTGAGCAAACTGGATAACTTCTCGGTGTAGCTGGATAACATCGTGGAGAGGCTCACGGCTCTCCAGCGGGAACGGTGAGACACCAGTGATGGACATTAGATGACTGTAAAATTGACATGCAGCGGTTCGCACTAAAGAAAGAACACCACCGTTATTTCATGCGGCTACTATTTCGGCGCCAGCTGCGGTCTCAAGGGTGGAGCTGAACATAACAAATAATCTCTCCCCTGATAACAAACTGTGTTTAGACCCTTCGATCCAAACGCCCTCGTACACTTACCTCCGAGGCCGAGTCGGACGGCGGGTCAGGGCCCAGCGCTGGATGAATAGCTGCAAAATAGAATTATAACACTTATAAAAGCAGCTGCAAAAACAAAACAATAAGTGTCATAATTCTGTCATTTGATCACTTTTTCTCAGTTATACCTGAATAAACTTCCTACTGTGTTGAGAAACAAATAACTCAAACGTGGGTGTGTGCTGACTGATGTTCACTGTTACTTAATCAAATAGCACTAAAACTCTGCTGCTAGTTCAAGCAAACAGCCCAGAATCTGCCGCCCTCACCCCTGGAGGAGGCCCTGCACTTTACAGAAAAGAAATGCTGCTGACAGTAAAGTTTTAGGAACAACAGGTGAACAAAAGCCTCCTTCCCTCACTGCTCACAGACACTTTCTTTGATCACGTTTGTGTGTTTCTCTCAGACTCAGAGTCGTCTCAGAGCTGTGCGGTGGTTTTGGAAAACGTCACAGACAACATGTCCACAGATCTGCTCTCCATGCTGGTGGAGAACATCTCTAGGTTGGATGAGAACGGCTACAGCATGGAGAGGATCCTGGAATCCAACAAAGCTGTGGTCACCTTCAGCAGCCCTGCAGGTAGGAAGCAGACAGCTGGACGTTTCCACATACATAAACACAACGAGCCAGTACAAGGACAAACATCCAAAATCCCCTTTAGATTAACCTTTGAGTCTAATTTTAAACCTGACTTTATAAAAAATCACATATCTGATCTGGAAAAGTGTAGAGAAGCACAAACCACGTGATATGATTTGAATAATGAATCATTTTCATATAAATATTACTTTAAACTACACAAACATTGCATTCCATTTACTTTATATAGCATTAAGACTGTAAAATAATAATGCAGAGGAAACTCAAGAATCCGATAGCCACCTATCGGCAAGCACTTTGGCGACAGTGGGAAGGAAAAATTCCCTTTTAACAGGAAGAAACCTCCAGCAGAACCAGGCTCAGGGAGGGGCGGGGCCATCTGCTGTGATTGGTTGGGGTGAGAGAAGGAAGACAGGATAAAGACATGCTGTGTAAGAGAGACAGAGGTTAATAACAGATAGGATTCAGTGCAGAGAGGTCTGTTAATACATAGTGAGTGAGAAAGGTGACTGGAAAGGAAAAACTCAATGCATCATGGGAATCCCCCGGCAGCCTACGTCTATTGCAGCATAACTAAGGGAGGATTCAGGGTCACCTGGTCCAGCCCTAACTATATGCTTTAGCAAAAAGGAAAGTTTGAAGCCTAATCTTAAAAGTAGAGATGGTGTCTGTCTCAGGATTCAGAAAGATAAAGCTTGATGCTGGATTTAAATCGTGCTATTTTAAGAACATTTGTAATAGAAACAAAAAGTAGATAACTGGTGATCTATTGGGGTCATATGACACTACGAGGTCTTTAGGATCAGACGGGGCCTGATCTCGGTCACGCTCAGCGGCCCTTCAGTGAGGATAACCTGCTTGACTTTACATCATACACAAACAAGTGAAGCACATGTTAAACAATTTTTACTTTGATATCAGTAATCATAAATAAATTGGTATCAGTAAAGTAAAAGAATGAAAAGATCCAAATACCTCTACAGACTCTTTGAGCAGAGGAACCTATCACTGCTCTCCTTTATCACCATTCTGTTTGCTGCCACTGATCCCAACGGCTTTGTTGCTTTACATACAACATAATGTCGTCTACATAACAGCATAAAATGACAGCAGATCTGTCTCCAATAAAGCAGGATTGTTAAATATAGAAAATAAATCTTTATTGACTGTACATTTAAAAATAAAGAGGAAGCCTTCATTCATTCATAAGAACATTTCTAGATAATATGTTGTAGCCCAGCATTTCTCTCTCACCCTGTTTCAGTCTGAAAGGATTAATCTGGATTATTTTGCAGATGTGGAGAGATTCCTCTCTGTAAGTCAGACAAGCACAAAGATGAAGAAGCAAGGACTGACCGCTCGGCCTCTGGAGGCAGCAACGAACATCCGAGTGGAGAGTCTTCCTCCGACTGTGGTCAAAGGTACATGTGCTCCTAAAAACCATAGACTGTATATAAAAGCCTCTGGATAATTAATACATTATTTTTAAAAACCAGCAGGGGTCGACTCCTCTGGTTGAAAAAAGTTTACCAGAACATGAGCCTACTGCTCAATATAGCTGTTATGTTATATTCGATTTTAGGTTAGCATTTTACAGTGGCTTTATTTGTTGGGACAGTTTGAGCTTTGTCGCTTCCAATTTCACCTGAAATCAACACATGAAATCTAGAAAGGAGCTAATCAATGCAACAAGAGGCATAATTACTTATACAGATAATACACAAGCTAAATATAAAAATAATTAACTTCTCCTCAATACAGGAAATGAACTCAGTGCATGAATGAGCTCATTCATCATTATAGCTGTGTACAGTGTAGCTTCCACACTTTTTGCCCCCTGCTGACCCAAATCCAAATGGTGCTGAGTGCTTTAAGGGGTCTCCCTGGAGCTGAGCTGGGCTTTGCCATTGCTACCACATGGCTGTTAAATCGATTCAACCCTAAATTTCTTTCTAACCTTTCGGAACAATAAGGACAATGTCAAGGCTCTGTGTGCGGGCAGGCGGAGATGAGGATCCAGATGCAGGACTCTGAGACTGTAAGACTCTGAGAATGTAACTGAAAACTTCAGCTTTTATTGCTGGCACCAACACAAAAACAGAAACCAAACCAAGAACCCAAACAGGACCACAAAGGCTGGATCTGAGGGTACGACGCAACACCGAGCACGGGAAAACACAGGGCTAATATACACAGGGATGTAATCAGGGAATGGAAAACAGGAGGGAGACACAGCTGGGAGAAATTGGACTATCGAGACAGGGGAGCAGTAAAACAGAACACACTCACATGAGACACAGACCTTCACAATAAAACAGGAAACAAGAAACCACTAAACAAAGACGCAGACAGAATATAATACATGGAACTTGAACTATGCAAAACATGAGACACAACCAAGGAGCAAATCCTAAAACACGAATAAACAGAAACCTATAATTCTCATAATGGTCAACGATGTAAAAGAATCAAAATACAATACAAAATTAAACCAAGACACGAGAAACTCGAAATACTGGGTCAAAACTGACCCAGAACCGTGACAGTACCCCACCTCCAAGGGCTGGCTCCTGACAGCCCTAAACAAAAAACAGAATAACGAACCAGAGCACCAGGCCAGAGTGGGCGGAGGGGGTCCAGGATGGAGGGACGGAAACAAAACAGAAAACAAGGAGCATGATTCCAGATCAGTCCATAAACAAGAAAACAGGTCAACACAAAACTAGATCCATCACGAGTCCACAAGAAAGTTCAGGGGGTCGACCCGAAGGTAGACAGCACGGGGCCAATCAGTTCAGGGGGCCGGCTGTGTGGACCGCAATGGCAGCGACGCAGACGAGACACATCAGGAGGCCGGCCACGCGGAAGGCAGTGGTGGCAACAAAGCAGGTCCGGAAGCCGGCCACGTGGAAGGCAGTGGCGGCAACGCAGGCAAAACAAATCAGGAGGCCGGCCACGCAGAAGGCAGTGGTGGCAACAAAGCAGGTCCGGGGGCCGGCCACGCAGAAGGCACTGGCGGCAACAGAACAGGTCCGGAAGCCGGCAGCGACGACGACCTCGTTCTAACGGCGAAGACCTCGTTCTAATGGCGAAGACGTCCAACCAAAGGCCTGGAAAGTGGCCGGCAAAGGTGAGGTGGTTCAGACCGAGCTGGGTCGGACGGCGGTGGACTGGCAGAGGCTGACACTGACGCTGGACCAGGCGAGGCTGAAGCGGAAACAGAGGCCGGACCCGGCGAAGCCGAAGCCGATGCAGAGGCTATAGACATTTTTCATTATACTGACAATGAAAAAATAGAAGTACTCAGATTTTTAATGCCAAAAACATTTCTACTAAAATAACCAGATAACAAACTTTGAAAGTAATTTAACCTTCATGCATCTGTAAAGCTGTGCATTTCTGGCTTTTTTCTAGACATACTGGAGTTGTATTTTGAGAAGACTTGGACTCATCCCAAAAACATCATCATGATCCCAAAAGAAAAGGCTGCCATCATCACTTTCAGTGATCCTAAAGGTCTTTTTGTTGTTGATGTAAACCTATGCTGAACGTATGCAGGCACCAGCTTGCTGTAGTAGTGGTGATTAATGTGAGGGCTTTGCCCACCAAGTTCTTTCACGTCTTTAAACAGAAACTGGTTCAGCAAAATTTGGAAACATTTTAGTGTTTAAGCTTTCAGAATGGATTCTGTCCGTCTAATAGTTGTCCTTACTGGAGCTAGCAGCCGAGATGAAAACAACAAAAAACAAACCCAAACGTTAGAACACATCACTCCTGTACTTTGGTTATATATTGCTTTCATTCCCAAGGATGAGGAACGTCTGAGGCAGCTAGCTTCACATAGGAAATATTAGGTCAGCTTTTCCAGTTTTTTAAAGTGAACCTGAACTTAGAGGCAAAGAAATCAGTTATTACTAAAGTTAATAAAATAAAATAAAAAATGCTTTAGATTAATGCCTGTTGTACTTAGAAGTAGTGTACAAATGACTGAAACGGTTAGCTAACAGTGACTGAGAAACTGTAAAAAGTCTAGATCCAATCTGAAATGTGTTTAACTGAAGTAATTTGAAGATGAAAAGTGTTGTAGAAAAATGATATTTGTCAGATAAAGAAGGTTCAGAACCGCAGAGTAACCACTTATCTAACCTTTGCTTCTCTGCTTCTTGTTTGCTGTAGTTGTGGAAAAGATTTGCGTTAAAAAAGACCTTGAGTTGAAGTCTATCACAGTGAAGGTATATCCATACTATGAGTCACTGGGAACCGCCTTGTACGCCAAAGAACGCCCAACATGGAAGATGCCCGAGCCCTTCACAGAGCGTGTTCACCACGTTATCTGGAAATTCCTTGTGGAGAAGAAACTCTCAGAACACATCAATGATCAGATGCATCCACATTTCTGCAGAGTGGATTTGAATGGCCCCGATGTGAAACTCAGCCCTGTGCCAGAGTTTTTGAGGCAGCAAGGTCTGACTGCAGAACATGTAGAAAACTGGATGAGTAAGGCCCAACATGCCTTCTGTCGCCTGATGTCTCAGTACACAGCATTCATATGTCACGTAAATGCACTGGGATGGAGAGCTGCAGAGAAAGATGTACGTTCAGTTGTGAAGGAAGATGCCATCCTGGTGCTGGATGCATCCAAAGGGGTTCTGACTGTTGCTGGCCGAGCTGATGATATAAAACGAATCAGGGCTTCTGTAGAGAACATTCTTCTTAAAGCCATGAGTCACATTGAACGACAGACAAACAGCATCTCTGAGGAAATGATTTTGTCCCCTGCGATGTTCTACATCCTGAAGCAAGAGGGGCTCCAGACAGCTGCTCTGGACATTTCTCCTGAGATGAAACTCTCTTATGATGAAGGCACCCAGAAGTTAACCATTACAGGACTCCCTGCAGAGGTCTTCGAGACTAAGTCATGGATCTCTGAGAAGATAATGAATATGAGTAAAAAACATCAGAATGTGCCCCCATGTCTTCTAGACTTTCTCAGAACATTGGATCCTGTCGATTTGTCCCAGGATCTGTTCACATCTCAAGGCATCAATGCAACCTACACCATTGAAAACAAAGGACTTCTGCTGTTGGGGAGTTCTGACAGAGCCCTAGCTGATGCAGAAAGTAAGATGATGGCTGCTTTGGCTCATCAGATTGTAGAAGTGGAAGACCAAAAAGTTCTAAAACTTCCCACCTGGGGCCACCTGAAGCAAAAGCTGCTGGATACCTACAACCTATCCAAGAAAAAAACGGTTGCCATTGAGATGCATCCAGAAAGAAGAAACAAAATAACAGTGGCTGGTTTTGTTAATCCAGTGAAAGAGGTCAGCCACAGTCTGAAGGAGTTTATTGCAAGCCATTCACAAGTCCTAGAAACCCTTCATGTTGAATCCTGTGCTGTTGTTTCGTTCATTAAAAGGAAAAAATCAAAGGAGTGTTCCAGTATTGTTAAAGATAATCATGTATCAGTAAGGTTTTATGTACAGAAGCAGGGCATCAGCATCCTTGGTGCTCGTCTTCATGTCCAGAAAGCCAAATCCTGCTTTAGGGAACTGGCCAGTGCTCTCTTCACTGACACCTTAACTGTGGACAAGCCAGGAGCAAAGAAATATTTCCAAAACCAAGGAAGCATTTTCCTGTCTACAATAATGAATGAGTTAAGATGTGCGGTCTTCCTTCGTCCAGAGATTGAAGAAGAAGAAGAAGCTGCGAATTATGAAGAAGAAACTAAGCTTTGTTATTGTAAAGTGCAGACCATCAGTGGAGTTCTGATTTCTGTCAGTAAGATGGACATCTGCATCTTTGGTGTGGACGCTGTGGTCAATGCAGCTAATGAGGACTTAGACCACATTGGTGGCCTGGCTTTGGCACTGCTAAAGGCTGCAGGACCACAGCTGCAGAGAGAAAGCAGCGACTACGTCGCTAAAAATGGACGTCTACGTCCTGGTGACGCCATCATAACAGATGCCTACAACCTGCCTTGCAAACATGTTGTCCATGCAGTTGGTCCACGATTCTCTGACTTTGACAAGAAGACGGCAGTGTCACGCCTGAAGACTGCAGTTACAGAAAGTCTGAGACAAGCAGAGATGGCCAACTGCTCCAGCATTGCACTGCCAGCGATCAGCTCGGGCATCTTTGGTTTCCCTGTTGACCTCTGTGCTGAGACCATAGCCCAGGCAGTTCGGGAGCACTGTGACAGCCCACAAGGTCTGAGATCATTAACTGAGATTCACCTGGTGGACAACAATGATAGGACCATCAGAGTCTTAGCTACAGCTGTGAGCAAGGAGTTCTCAGACCTCGGACCTACCATGACCATCCCACAGCAAGCAGGCGGGAAACGAATAGCGGCTTCAGGGTAATTTTTTAACCATTTTTAATAATGAACTTTTACTGTAAACATCTTAACATTGATACTCATCAAGCTCATGATCACAGGTACCAATATCCAGCTCCATGTAACGTCCTTATTTGGATTTTGTCTGTTGTATAACTGTATAAGCACTTCTGTATACCTGACAGCATGGAGGTAATCTATATCCACAATCCCCCAAAATAAAACTATTTCTTTAAATATTTTCAGTAAACCTTGTTGATGCTGAGCTAGTTGAGAAAGATTATATCAATTTATTGGTCAGATTTATGGTTTATGGCTTCCTAAGCCACAAAGATGGCTGAGCAGCTATTATTAACTTTAAATGGCTGCTTAAGTATTCAGTCAAATTGGAGTCATTTGGAAAGTATTTAAAATTGTCATTACTTCCTAGTGGACACAAGCGGGGTCCATGCAGAGGTCAGAATCAATCACATGATGCCAGCTGGTGTAATGAAAAGCGAGAAGAAGGAAGAGGTGGTGGAAGGGGAGGAAATCATCACGGTAACAGGGGAGGCCTGAGCCCCAAGCAACAAATCAGCCATAGAGAGCATGAAGGGTAAGGTGGTTCCCCTTCTATTTCTTTGGTTTTATCACACTCTTGATGACCTCATGTCCATGAGGCCTCTTTGATATCATCAGTCTGTTATCTGATTGGATGCAGGTTGGAGCAGACCACAGCTGAGGGGCTGAAGATCATTTTATGTAAGGGAAGCATTCAGGACCAGACTGTGAGTACCTGTGCTGTCATTTGGATCATAGTTTAGAGGATTCTGTAAATGGTCACGTAATTACAACATGAAGGGATAGATTTGGCTTACATGCATCTTTAAACCAGGATTAAAAGTAAATTCTGGTTTATGCAGTATTTTTTCAATCTGTCGCTGTCTTTTCATGTTTTTGTGGAGTTTCTGTTCTGCTGAACACCACAACAGTGTTCACCACAGGGCCAAATGAGCTTACTACATAAATTCATTTGAATGCTGAGTTTACAAAGAAATGCTCATCAAAGACTTTTGTACATTAGTGCATTGATAAATACAGCACATTCAAACATCCACTGATTCCAATTTGAAAGCTGCTTTATGTTCTTAATTGACTAGTGTGAAGGTGTCACGTTTCAAACACGACTCAAACTTTGCTCATTTAACTATAATTTGATTAACATGTCAAAATGCCTGGATACATTTCCTGGTCTTTCTATATCAGGTGGGCAAAGCGATCAGACAGAAATAACATATTAATTAAGAACAAAGCTACACACCTTTATCAGCAGAAACAACGAAGGCACATACAAATCTGATCACATAATTAAGAATTTATACTGCAATATTTTTATGGAAGACTGTACAGTTTGTGTATTTTATATACTGTAGTTTGCAGACATTTAGTGTCTCGGCCTTTTTAATGCAAAAATAATGAGATATTTTTGATTTTTTTTCTTAAAACTGACTTTCATTTACCAAGCTTTTTGCGATTTTACTTTTGTTCCACAGACTGATGTCATCGTCAACACCATCTCAGAGGACATGAAACTGAACCAGGGAGCTGTGTCCAAAGCCATCCTGTCAGCAGCCGGAAGCAGTCTGCAGGACGCCATCTACTCTGAAGCCAGAAGGAACACGCTGCGATACGGTGATGTTGTCGTCACTGACGGCTACAACCTCACGTGCCAGAAAGTCTTTCACGCTGTTTGTCCTTTCTGGGACAAAGGAGGCGGCCAGGCAGAGGAGGTGAGGCCTAATAAAGGTTGGACACTGTAAACATGAAGGACCCAGGATACACAGTTTAGCTTTCCAGCTGCTGGTCGCACACACACCAGCTCTGGGTCCTGATGCCACTGCAATAAGGAGAGCGTGAATAGTCTATTAGGCTCAGCTGCCCTGTCAGCCTGCCGGTCACTGCCCCCTGAGCCCACTGCACCACCCTACCCTCTCCCAGCCTATCACCCCTTTGGACCACCATGAACTTAAATGACTGTGGACAAATACCACTGGGTTATCTGGGCGTTGGCATCTTTCATGCGGTGGAGCCATTGCAGCTGGGCTTGGTCTGAGCGGAGGGTGAATAAGTGTCCCAGGATGCAATAACAAAGAGAGCTGACTGCCCACTGGATTGCCAGACACTCTTTCTCCACCATGCTGTACCTGGCCTCCCTCTCCGACAGCCTCCGACTGATGTAGACTACAGGGCAGTCAACCTGCCTTACCTGCTGTGACAAAACTGCCCCCAGCCCTCTGTTTGAGACATCCATCTACAGAACGAAAGGGAAGTAGAAGTTACATGTGTGAGACAGGGGCTCCCACAAAGAACCTTTTTAAACCACACAAAAGCTCCATCCACTGGACCAGATCTGGGGCACCATTTTGGTCAAGGGGCTGGTCAGGTTTGCAAAGTTTGGAACAAGACGGTCTTAATAACCAGCCAGTTCCAAGAACCACCATCTAAGGGGCGCATCTGTCCACCTCCCAAGTGGTACCCGATATGCTCTACCTCTCTCCCTCAAACCACACACTTCTTTGGGTTGGCCATGAGCCCCACCTGGCTCAGGGACTCCAGGACTGTGGCCACCCGCTGCACATGCTCTGCCCAGGTGTCACGCTGAATGATAGCGTCATCCAAGTAGGCAGCAGGCATAAGCAGCACCTGGTCCATGAGGCGTGAGGCCAGGGCTCCGAACAAGCCGAACAGAAGTGTAACCAATTGGTGCAAACTGTACGGAGTGGAGAAGGACAGTTTTTCCTTAGACTCCGCAGACAAGGGCATCTGCCAGTAGCCCTTGGTTAAATCCAGGGTTTGTTGGGGTTTTTTTTAAAAAAAACTTGCAGTGCCTAACAAGTCCAGGAGGTGGGAATGGTGGAATTTTGCACCTCCAACTCATCTCTCTTCTTCACCAGGCTCACCAGAGAAGCCTCTCTCCGTGCTTTGAGGAGGTTGAGGTGATATACAAGTTCCTCCCCTGTCTGACCATACCACCTCATAGTCTACGTCCCCCACCTACCGTGTGACCACAAAGGCTCCGTGCCAGTTGGCAAGTAATTTTGAGCTAGAAGACGGGACTAATACAAGCACTTTATGTCCAGGGAAAATGAGTCTAGCCCCTCTGTTGTGCAGGTGCTGTTGACGTTGCTGGACCTGGGACAAATTATGTTGTGATAACAGAGGGGCTTTTTTTCTATTCTCTTTTCTTAAACTCTGTTATTCTTATAAGCCCCAGCATGTGTGAGATACTAACTAACTTCTGATACTAACATAGCACCTCTCTACTCTACCTGAGAACTCCAGATTCTTTCTACAAGCCTCGCACATTCATCCGATCACTGTTTTCTATCCCCAAACGCTTTGTTACCATCATTCATGCACTCATCCACTGAGGGATGCATCAGGAGAAACTCTGTGCCCCTCACCACCACTGAAAACTCCACTTTTGTTCCTGGTCGTTCACATACCATACTGTGTATCTTGCCCAGTCACTGAAGTCCAGCTTCACTTTATGTCTTATCTCCATTTGTCAGGAGTTAACGTCCATCATCAGATACTGTCTGGTGGAGGCTGAGAAACGTCAGATGGCATCATTGTCCTTCCCAGCCATCGGGACAGGACACCTGAGCTTCCCCAGAGCCCTGGTGTCCAAACTCCTGCTGAGAGAGATCCGCTCGTACAGCAGCAGCAGAAATCCTCGCTGTCTGAGA